AAGCAACAACCCGTACATCTTTACCTGCGTTGGACTTGTGAGTGTTGAACCTTAACAATATGTCTCAACTTATCTCAATGTTGGTAACCTGGTGTGACTGATGGGCTAGAGACATAACTTAGTAAACTGGAGTTGACTCTAGCACACACAGGAAAGAAGTGAGGATTTCCTGCCTCATCAAATTGAAGAGCTAGCTGCTCACTGGCGGTACTGTTATGTTGATAACTACCTATGTGTTGTTGACAGTGAAAGGATCTTCTGTTGAATATTTTGAATATTAGTTTTGTGTGATTGCAAACCAAATATTGGTTGGACCTAATCATGTTTCTGTTTGTCAGGACCATATGCATGCTTGAGAAAAAGATCAACTATCACTTCTGGCTTTCTTCTGAAATCAAGTAGACACACTAGAATACTGTTCAAAGCAGCAATTAAACTCACTCACTCACTCACTCAGCCTGAAGTGCCGTGAATTAAGTGTAGTGACAAGTTGAGGCGAAAGAACTTGAAGAATTTGGGCACAAACATTTTATGGAATGTATCACAAAAGACATAAAATTTGACTGACCTATACCAGGATTGAAATAAATTTCAACATGACTGTCCCAACATGACTTACAAAATGACTAGACATTCTTCTAGACATTGGTCAAGTTGATTGAGGTGTCTAAAGACAGGGTATCAGGTGGTGTTTTTAGATGTAGTCGTCATATCCACACTTGCTTTTATTACAGTAATAAAATAACTTCCCTCAACCGTTGGGCATCTGATAATTAGAGGAAGCCTTGACCTCAACAGATCCTGAGTTTGTGTAAATAATGGTAACCGATACAATGGTGAATGCACTACATTGCTAGTGGTAATATTTATTACTTGCATTGGAAGGTGTATAATATTCAATAATATGTGTGAATTGAAATATGCCTGTCGGGACTGTTGCATTGCAATTAAATTGAATTTCTTCTTCCAGCTTTTCAGTCACACTCATGGTTGGTATTAATTGAGTTCTTTTCTGTTTCCACTCTGTAATTAATATAAAATTATTTCATTTCAAGCTCCGATCTGTTGTTAATGCACAGGCATGGACCCTTGAAAAGATGGATGATTGTATGATTTATCTGTCTCTGAATTTGTCAGCTGTGTCATCCAGCTCAGTAATTGGATCAAGGTTCTGTGAATGCCATCATACTATTGTATATACAGTGATGTGCAAATACAAAACAAAATAGTAAAAAATATTTAATATAATCAAGAGAATTTTTCAACATACTTCTTCTAAGTTCATTATCAGTTAATAATATTTAATTTGAAAAATTCTATTTAGGAATGATATTAATATCATTTAATGAAATAACATCCCAGGACAATGTAAGACCCGTAAATATTAAGAATGTTTCAGAAGGTTTCAATTTTTCTTTTAATCTGAATTCTGATAGAGAAATAATAATAATGAATTATTCTTATCAACTTTATTGCAAAATCCATTTGAAATTGATATTGAGTATGCAAGGAAATAAATGAATGTGTAATCCATGTGTTGTAATGAAAGGTGCTTGGACCTTTTGCCAACAGCCTCATTCATTTTACCTTTTAAAAACATATCCAGATTTGGATGTCGTTTCCTCAACTCCCTAGCTCTTTCTCACGATTCAGAGCAATCATAAAAGAATAATTTGTCGATTCAGAGAAAAAGCAATCTCTATTTCACTGTCAGCCCAAGAGAAAATGAACTACATGAGCATTTTCAAAGGGATTAAAACTTGCAGCACAATATGAGCTTGCTTGTTATGCCTGTCTTATAATTAGTCATCCAGATGTAGTATGTTAGACCCCAAGACCACCATGGTGGATCACAGTTTCTAATTAAATCCATCGCCTACAAATAGTGGAGGATAGATGAAGGGCTTGGGGAAGGGAAGGGTAGATTAACTATTTTCATATCAAAATATGACCTTAATGTTTAGGTATTCCCACCTGCCCAACTGCCAAGGCTGATATTTGCTTTGGTACTAATCTTTCCTACATCAATGTCGGAGTTCCATGGTGTGTTTTTTGTATCGCTTCCTGTAACTTAATAAAGGCCATTTGTATGGCAGTTTTGAAACACCCCTCGTAACTGTTAAACCAAGCATTTTATATGGAATATTTATGGCATTGGGCTTACGACATAAATTGCTTCAGTTTCGTAAGTCTAGCAATAAAACAAAATGCATATGTTGGTTACATCATAGCTATGTAGTGTTAACCAACAACTGCTTTTGTATGTCAGTCATGTTTATCCAGTCTTCCTGGTCCTTAATGAATCAGCAATGAAACTAGTGTTTTGTGTATTTAGGGAGCTCTTTCTCTGGCAGAAATAAATCATGCAAAATGATGTTATAAATGTTTCTCTGTAGTAACAGTTGTGTCATTCTATCAGTTAGATTGTTCGGTAAAAAAATATTTTATGAAGGTTGTAAATTTATTTCAAGTGTCCCGCTCAGTAGCAATTAATTTTTGTTGCAGACATTAATGATTTTGTTTGGAGGAAGCAAGGAGAAGGGATACGTCCATTATTGATATGTCAGTTGAAGGGCACAGGTGGTCCAGTGGTTCAAGTTGCTGCACTTCACCATGTTGATTTGCATCTTTCAATCATGTCAGGATCTTCTGTTCTTGGGTTTGAATCCCAGGTCAGCCCTGATTATAATAGTGGTTTTATCAGCGCCATTGATTTGCCGAAGATATCCATGAAGCATCACTGTGGGCTTCCCCCAACCCAGTACATAACTTAGCTGCTGTACAGCAGTGTCAGTGCCATACTATTGTCAGTTGCAGGGAGAACAACGAGGAGAGTTCTATGGATATACAACATCATTAATATGAGGGGCGGTGGGGTAGCCTAGTCAGTCCGTCAGTCATTAATATGAAGTTGAATATCCATAGAACTCTCCTCGTTGTTCATCACACTATGTGAAGCCCATTTCTGGTGTCCCTCGCCGTGATGTTGCTGGAATATTACAAAGCAGCGTAAAACCAAACTCAGTCAGTCAGTCAGTCATCACACTAACTTCTAAATGCCACTCAAATAAGTTAGTTGCAGGAAGGTTCTCTTTGTCATCCTGACCTTGTGCAGTGGGGTAGTCTAATGGTTAGATTGAAAACGCTGAAGACCCGGGTTAGATTCCCAACATGGGTACAATGTGTGAAGCCCATTTCTGGTGTCCCCCGCCGTGATATTGCTGGAATATTGCTAAAAGCGGCATAAAACCATACTCACTCACTCACTCATCCTGCATTTCAAGTAATGTCATCGATGTTACTTTCCCATCACACCTACCTGGCCCTCCCCCTCCCAGATGGGATCACTTATATAGACCAGGGTGTAAGCTGTACAAAACAAAAACAAGGTGTCAGCCGTGCATAAACAAAATATTTGTCAGACACTGAAATATGTTGTTATTTCAGTGCCTGTCCATCTGTGGTTTCTTGATCGTAACTTCAGGAATAAGTTGACTGTCGTGAACTAAGTGTGGCTTTGCTTTTCCATTAAACCAGAAGCTTTGTATCTTTTTGACAGTTCACAGTGGACCTGTTTCTACGTTTGATATTGTTGTGTTATTTGTATTTGATAATTCTGTTGTGAGGTAAAGGCACAACAATATTCCCATTAAGTGGCTATTTCATAGGCTGGAGATTGGAATAAACTAAACGCAGTCATGATCATAAATGATCATATATATCATGGAGGAGCTGACTCTATTTGATGCTTTGGTTTAATGACATTAAATATGTTTTGAAGTTCTCTGTGTAGTGATTATGTGGCAGTGAACCAGAAAATTATACTTCAGTCGAAATGGAAATGGCTTGCGGGAAGATGGGTGGGCTAAGTCATGGGTTAGACAATAAGTGGGCTCGGTCTTGTGATGACATTGGATACTGGATGGTGGGTGGGCTAGGTCCTGTGATAAGATTGGATGGTGGGAGGCTTGGTCCTGTGATAAGATTGGATGGTGGGTGGGCTAGATCCTGTGATAAGATTGGATGGTGGGAGGCTTGGTCCTGTGATAAGATTGAATGGTGGGTGGGCTAGGTCCTGTGATAAGATTGGATGGTGGGAGGCTTGGTCCTGTGATAAGATTGGATGGTGGGAGGCTTGGTCTCGTGATAAGATTGGATGGTGGGTGGGCTAGGTCTTGTGATAAGATTGGATGGTGGGAGGCTTGGTCTTGTGATAAGATTGGATGGTGGGTGGGCTAGGTCTTGTGATAAGATTGGATGGTGGGTGGGCTAGGTCTTGTGATAAGATTGGATGGTGGGAGGCTTGGTCTTGTGATAAGATTGGATGGTGGGTGGGCTAGGTCTTGTGATAAGATTGGATGGTGGGTGGGCTAGGTCTTGTGATAAGATTGGATGGTGGGTGGGCTAGGTCTTGTGATAAGATTGGATGGTGGGAGGCTTGGTCTTGTGATAAGATTGGATGGTGGGAGGCTTGGTCTTGTGATAAGATTGGATGGTGGGTGGGCTAGGTCTTGTGATAAGATTGGATGGTGGGAGGCTTGGTCCTGTGATAAGATTAGGTCTTGTGATAAGATTGGATGGTGGGTGGGCTAGGTCTTGTGATAAGATTGGATGGTGGGAGGCTTGGTCTTGTGATAAGATTGGATGGTGGGTGGGCTAGGTCTTGTGATAAGATTGGATGGAGGGTGGGCTAGGTCCTTTGATAAGATTGGATGGTGGGCGGGCTAGGTCTTGTTGTTGAAATGAGCTGAGTTTTACGTTGCATCAGCACTATCTTAGCAATTTAACGACGAGACCAAGTCTGCATACATGGACATTCTAATCTAGGTCTTGTGATAAGATTGAATGGTGTGTGGGCTAGGTCTTTTGAGAGGATTGGTAGTAATAAACATATTTACATTTTCTGGTTTGGTTTTAGTGAATCGAGACTTATGATGAAATGCTTTTATAAAGGTTTATATTCATTACACAATCTTAAGAATATATTTTTTTGCTTTCAGAGCAGAAGTACCCTCATCCAGTCATTTTAGTCAGAACAGGTTGGTAATTCTTTACATTTCATATATAAAGATATGCACAATGTGGGAAACTATCACTGCTTTACTTTTAACCAAATATGCCTTCATGAATTGCATTTGAAGAAAGTGAAAGTCTCTGATCTTTTGGAAGCAAGTTAAGCAATCAGATACCTGTGTTGGGTACAAATGTTAAAGATTCCAAAAGATATGCTGTAGAAAGAAGAAATGTCAGAATGATTGTTTTCAAGCACAAAATAAAGTGAGAAAGAAGATTGAAATAGTTTGGTAGAAACGTTAGACTTGAGGCATCTTTACTCCTCCATCTCATCCAGTTCACCTTTACCATAGTGAAGAGATTACCAGATTATGTTGGTGTTCCTCCTAATCTATAAATGTTTTATCAAAAGCTAACAAATCATTATTGCTCAGTGCTGTGGAGGATAATACTGATCTTTGCATGAAGTGCACGTTGCTGATATTCGTTTAACAATTCATGTTGAAAGGACTATGTAACTATCACTTATTGTCTTTGCTGTTCTGTTTCAACATCATGTCACAAAATTACTTTGTTCCACGCTAACGCAAGTGCCGGATAAATGCAAATGGTGGATTGACACCTCAAGGGGATTGAGAATTAGGGTTGGTCCTCATCATTCTGTGCTTTTTGTACAACCATCTTAAATGAATGTGATCGTCAGGCAGGGTAGATGACCTGTCATCGTACCCCAATGATATGGTTTTTTGTTCACATTATCAATCACTGTTTTTTCTGGTCTTCACTATTATTTACCATCTGCCATGATATTGATGAAATATTGCCGAAAGTTGTGTGAAAAACAAACCAGGAAAAGAGAGGTGATGGATACAATACAGTTAACATGTGGCCTCTGTTAGACAAATTCCTTAATATTTTGAGTGGCGTTGATATAGCCTAGTGTTTAAAGGATCCACTTGTCATGCTGAAGGCCCGGGTTCGATTCTCCACATGGATACAATGTGTGAAGCCCATTTCTGGTGTCCCCCGCCGTGATATTGCTGGAATATTGCTAAACGCGGCGTAAAACCATACTCACTCACTCACTCACTAATATTTTGACAACTGTTTACACTATGTTTGCAGTATGTTTCCACTGAGCATAAACATTCACATATCAATAGCCGCACTTGAACCTTGCACCTGACTGTTGCACAAATGAAGAGTGAAGTAAAGAACCCACCCAATGGAGGGCCATGGTCTAGACCCTCCTTGAAACATTTCAGGGGTTGTCTTTGTTGAAGAGCTAACCATAACTCCCAGTTCGGGATAAGGCTTATCATGGTGTCCCTCCAGGATCAGCTCTTTCAGGCAGCCTACTCCAGGTTACAAATTGAGAAGATATTCTCTGTATATAAGTTTTGATGACTTTACCAGATTTACGTAATGAACAAAATTAGATAAGTCCCCTTATGAGAAAAGGTGAGGTAAATTCATGTTCTTTGGAAAGATAGTCTTGTCCATTTGAAATTGCACTCTATCAGGTAGTTTGAATTTCTGAAGAAGATAAAAGTAACCTCACTGCTTGGACAAAAAAAAGGGGGTTTGCCACAGCCCCAACTTCAAAACCTGTTCTCATAATTAGTAGCCACACATTCTTTCGTTGCAAGTCGCATATCTATAGGAACCCCGGGTTAATGAATACCTGTGCGTCTCTCGAATGTCACCAGCCGTCAATACGTAGGCACACCTGTTTTGATTGGTCTAATCACCCTCCCCGCGTCTGAATGTAATTACCTAGGGGTCACCTAGGGTCACCACAGCCTACCAGTTGACCCAATTTATTGCTTTCAATCTGTACAAAGTATGAGGACTCTTTAATGGATGTGTGTGTAATTACCAAGTGTCTGGGAGCACAATGAGAAAACACAGAATATGATATTAGCTTGACAACTGCCTGTAGGTTTAGCTGAAATTTAAGATGTGCAAACAAGCTTGGGAGGGTGGGAAAGACTGGGTAGCTTCTTCCAGGCCACCAAGTTGATAAAACAATGTTTACAAAAGCAGTTTAGACCATAAAGATCCCCCTTTTTTAGGAGCGAGTAAATGAGAAATGGCTTTAAAATGTTTTAAAGAAGTTCCTCACTGCTGTTAATTCCATCAAGTTAATTTGTAAGGAACAAGCCTCTCATTTCAATCATAAAAATGGCCATATTGTATTCATTGTGTGTTGGTTACAGCCAGGAAAAAACCTTAGCTGAGTGTGAAACTGTTAGTGTAATACTATATGTTAGAAAGGTCTATGTTGGGGCTTGTTTACTCAACAGATTGAAATCATAAAATAAACAGCTGCCTATACATGGGCTTCTTCTTCACTTATAACGTGATGGGGCTGCATAGAATATAAGCAATCATGTTACATTTTAAAAACTTTTCTTTTATCATGCTTTTGTAAATTACTGAATTTAAACTCCTTGAAACCACGAGGGTTAAACCAACATTCCTTATGTATGTTAAATAATGGTTCTTTCATCCTCATCATGGCCTTCTTCATCATAAGAAAATTAAATTGAAAAATACAAAATTAACATATCTATTTGAAGCAGCTGTTCAGAATTGTGATCAACATTTGACGACCTTACTTTAATTCCATGATTTAAAGTTTTCATATTTTGAAGTGTGAGAAGATAATCAGGAGTGCTGTTATTTGATGTTGGCAATCACTTATTTTCCTCAAGAAAAAGTTACCTTCATTAGGAAGTAATTAGTAGAAAATACTTTTGTACATTTGCCAAGAATCTGTGTTGATCTCTTCTTGAGAGTTTCCAGTGTTATGGGAATGTATTACTTTAACGGACTATTATTCAAGGGCCTCTGATATTGCATAGTTTCTCCTGTAGACTACCACCACATGTGATAGTATTTCAATTAGAAGGAGATTTTCAGTCAGGCCTGAAGCTAATGCTTCTGAATTTATTTCATTATGGTGCATATCCTAGGATGTATAGATAATGTATGGAGGCAGTCAGAACAGGTACAGAACTGGAAGGAAGAATGACTTGTCTTTTTCGTGACCTTATACATCTACATAGTTTATCTTTTAGAATATACAAGAAGGTCATGGACTTCATATTTTACCTAATGGGTTTGATTCCTTACAAGGATGAGAGCGTAGCCATGTAATAGTTTGTTCACTCAGATTGGGATATGTACCCTCAGTCTAGGATCTGAAACCTCAGACTGGGATTTGTAATTTCAGATTGGGATTTGAACCATTCAGACTGGGATCTGTCTCCTCAGACTGGGATTTGAACCCTCAGACTGAGATCTGCACCCTCAGCATGTGATTTGAACGTTCAGATTGGATCTGTACCCTCAGACTGGGATTTCGAACCCTCAGACTGAGATTTAAACCCTCATGCAGTGATTTGAACCCTCATGCAGTGATTTGAACCCACAGACTTAGATTTGAACCCACAGACTGAAATTTAAACCCTTATACAGCTCTGTATAAGTTATTTAGGAACAGATAGAGGGTGTAGTACAAAGGAACATGTGTTTGATATAGTTTGGAGACTTCATGAACACATGGCTAAGGTACCCAGGGAGAAAATGTGGTCCTAACTCCAATTTCTTTTGTATATCACATGCTGAGATTAATGACACTATAAGACATATTAAAGTTCATCTTGCCTGAACATATTTTTCAAGATGGGTGATACGTGAGGTCATGAAACTGATTTAAGTTATGTTGAAACAAAAACAATTACATACATTAGTTTCAAATTTTCTGTTTATGTTTTCATCTAATGGGCAGACAAAGAAATGCAACACTCAACTTTAAGTTCAAAAAAGGAAAAATGATGTATGTCTAATTGAAGTAATGTTGTAAAAGATAGATGTTCTTCCAGAAAGGTAGGAATATTTTTACTTAAAGCAAACAGTTTGTCCTTTACAGCCATGAGGTATTTATGCTGACAGAATCTAAAGAAGGAACCACATACTTGTGGTATAGGTTCCCTCCAATGCAATTAGAATATACCACACACAAAAACCGAAAGATGGATGGACAGGGGGATAAAAAATAGTTGGACTACCTTAATGATTAACTCATTTCATTAGGAAACTTTGGGTACAAGGGAGAAGATGTACTGGGGTAAACTTTAAGTGTGTTCTATAAGCATTATGGGCAAAACCTACATGTGAAATAAATTCACTATGATTGAATAGAAAACGTGTCTAATGAAAGCCGATTCAAACAATGGTTTGGATGTTTTTACGTATCGTGTAGGTTTCAAAATCATGTGATAGAATGCCAGGAAGTGGTGCGTTGCTCAATTGCCCAGATGGCAAACATTCGTGTATTGAGGCGCATATGTCGGGGTTCAAAAGCAGCATGGCCTCGGAAAGAAAATATCTTTGCCGCATTGTGTGTGTGGCAAACCATGAGAGGCCCTTGTCTTGGAGGTGTTCGAAATTTACCCTTATTATTGTTGCCCCAAAACTGAATACTTTAATCCATTTAAAAACAGCATTGAGTGGCTGGTAATTTCAATGTTAAAACCTGCCATGTGTCAACTGCAACAGGTTTGAGTATTTTACGTGCAAATGCAGTAAATAGGAGTTTCTTAAGTGTAAACAAAACACCAATTGCTGTTTATATATATTGTGGCCAAACTTCAGTATGCCAGAGGTTAAAACATACTTTAAAGTTAAGCTATACAAAATTCTGTGCATTTAACTACTTGAAAATTTAATTGTTATTCTGTTTCAGAAAAATTGCAGATACTATTTAGATATGTGAATGCTTTTAGAAACTGAATGAAAATAGATTACAACAGCAGTTTATGTGCTTAGCTTTGTTAGAGGAATCTTTTATGATGGAGAAAGCAGGTTCACTGTAGTTTGGAAGGATTGAGTTAAAAAATATTCCAGTCACTGTTTATTCCTGTTCAGATCAGTTTGGTTTTTGTCCTTATCAGACCTGATACATATCTTGTAGACACTCCTGTTCAGCCCAAAACAGTTCACCTATGGACAGGTTCAG